TTAATGATGCCAAAATTACGTTCATTGGTAAGTACATTTAAATAAAAAAAAGGAGGCTTCGAAAGGATGACGGTATACTTTTTGCATTAATCGATTATTTCAAAAAAATTAAACCACTGTCTTTGATCTTTGCGTTATGTTCACGAATAACCTCCGAGAAATTGATTTCGTACACTAGTTCACTATAATTTTGCAACAGGTATTAGCTTTGTTAATTTCGTTATATGTCTGGAAGGAGCAATTTAGTTGTAGAACAGATTGCAATTGTGTTTGTAAGATGACACATACATTTCAATAGATTAAATTATCAACAAACTAAAGTTTCAGTTTACTCTTGCAAAAAAGATATAAAAAAGTTGCTGATTCAGTAAATATTTATATGAAAGTAATATATTCAACATTTATTCATGATTTAACTGCTTTTTTAATAACTTTTATTGGTATTAAATGTAATGATTGTTATAACTTTAGTAATAACTCATGTATCAAAAATCAATAGTTAAATTTATTTTCATGTTCTTTTCTCTTAGGTTTTACCAATAGCAGTTGCTGTAGGTACCATAGCTGTAATAGGATTAGCAGTAAAATTATATAAATGTTGGAGCAGTGATAAGAAAAAGAAGGCTCCAGTTTTACTGGTTAACCCAGTTTCTAAATATAGTTTACCATTGATTGAAAAAGACATAATAAGTCATGATACAAGAAGGTTTAGATTTGGTTTGCCAACACCAAACCATGTACTTGGATTGCCAACTGGTCAACATGTACACTTAACAGCAAAGATTAGAGGTGAATCTGTTATACGTTCTTATACACCTGTATCAAGTGATGATGATCATGGTTATGTAGATCTTGTGATTAAGGTGAGTAAAGAAACAAATACAGTACAATTAACATCTAGAAAATATGAATATTTGAAATAAAAAGATATGTATTTAGGTGTACTTCAAAAATGTACATCCAAAATTCCCCGAAGGAGGAAAACTGTCTCAACACTTAGAAAATATGAAGATTGGGGAAACTATTGATTTTAGAGGACCTTCTGGTAGGCTTGTTTATAAAGGTCATGGAAAATTTTCTATAAAAATTTTAAGAAAAGACCCACCTGCAGAATATACTGTTAAAAAGGTATGTATATTAATTTTATCTGAACATGCTTACAGAATTTAAATATAAACATATTTTTTCTATATTGATATAGGTGGTAATGTTAGCTGGTGGAACAGGAATCACACCAATGCTGCAATTAATTCGTGCTATAATAAAGGACCCCACAGATGAGACCCAAACTTCTCTACTTTTTGCCAATCAAACTGAAAAAGACATATTACTTCGAAATGAGTTAGATGATATTGCTAAGAATCATCTCGATAAATTGAAACTCTGGTATACAGTAGATACCGGTAGTGAAAATTGGTCATATAGTACCGGACATATAAACGCCGCTATGATAAAGGACCACATGTTCCCGCCATCACCCGATACAATCGTACTTATGTGCGGTCCACCTCCAATGATTAATTTTGCTTGTCATCCTAACCTTGACAAACTTGGTTATGATGCAAAATTACGATTCGCGTATTAAAGCAACAAATTAATTTTTTGTTGCACTGATGCGTAGATTGCATTTGATCTATTAGTTCATCCTATCGTTAAATAATATCCATGAATTTAGTTTCTTCACAAACACATTTTATTTTATATGGACCATATGGTTTGGTCAATATAAATGTGTAACATTAATTTAAAATTTAGCAGTATACAGTAACATAAAGTTGAAAATATATAACTGCAATGAACACAAAACTGTTCACTATGCTACTTGTCTCAAATGTGCAAAATAGAATGATTACTCCTAGAAACTAAATACAAGAATACAATAATTTTTACTATGTAATTCCACGTTTGCTGTAAATGTGGTTGTTAAATCATTTTTCATTAAAATTTTTAATTTTATATATGTCGCCAATACAGAGCTTTAGTGAAGAACAATATACGGGTTCAAGGTATCAAGCATTTATTGATGTTAAACCTCTTGTATTGTTATAAAAAATGATCACAAATTATTCTAATTGTTGTACAAGTCCCTTGCATACTTCCCTTTCGAACGATGATATAAGACTTGGAACGTGAAATGACATTAAATATTACACTATTCGCGTAAAAATTAGTGTGACATCAATTAATCATTGGCAATTAATATTAATATTTATTAACGAAGTGTACGAAGCTATATTTAT